ACTAGTGCATTAAAAATAGTAGTGTAGCTGCAGCAGAAAGGGCAGTAGCAAGTGTGGGCACTGGGTGGCTTCCCCATGGCAAACCTGCCCAGGCCTCAGGGGTACCTGCCACTGACTGTCCTACTGTGACTACACTATTATTTTCAGCACATTAGCTCAATGAGACCTAGCATGAGTATGTCTGCTTGGGAAGAAAATCACCATTCCTAGCTCCAAGTATAGGCAAAGCCCAAGTTTCTGAACAGACACTCTCCAGAACCATATGGAATATGGAGATATATATTTTGTATAAAATGCAAAACCTAGGTTCCATCTCCACCCTCACCCAAAAAGCCCATTCAAAGTCAATGGTGCTATTATGTAAATGGGTTAACACATCCAAAGGCACCTGGTTGCTCTAAGATTCACAGAGTACCAAGAACTGCCTTTGTAAATTAAGAACAGCACCAAAAGCAACTGATCAGCTAGCTCCATTCTAGATATATTTACACTTACGCAGTTGAGATCTTGTTTGCTATCAAACTGGCAAGGCATTTTCAGCTTGGAGTCATATAAGACGCAGATACATGATGACACAAAAACATTAAAAATTCCAGTAGCGAAATATAGGGGGTAGAAGAGGCACCCAGCCCTCAGAGGCAGTTTTTCCAGAATACTTGTTCAGGGCAAAGCTGTTTATCAACCAGATTTCAGTTAGGGGCAGAGTGACAGCACCTTGTCCCTGGCCCCACTGACGGGGTGTGTGGGTGTGGTGGTGGTCGGGGGGGACGACGGGACGGACGGACGGACTATGTCAATGTTCTAAACGAGCTCGAATCAGAGGATTGTCTGGGGACCTGCTCATAGCTCTGCAAGCTTCTCCTAAAGCAGGGTTACTCAACATGCGGTCCGTGGCCCACTTGTTTGTGGTCCGCGATGTGGTTTGGGTTTACACAGGGCTCAACATGCAGCCCGCAGGTGGGATCCTTTGAACATGGCCTCCGCTGGGAACACGCTCCACAACGCCGAGGCGCTCCCCAGGTGGGGTGAGCACTGAAAGACGTCCTTCCCCCTGTGTTGCATGAGGACTTTCCAAAGCCCAACAGCTGAACATGCACAAAGCCGCGCGGACTCCAATTTCCCACTGGGGAAAGCCAGAGCCATTGACATGGCTGGGCGTAGCTGTTTAGAGCCAAAGAGGCAGGGGGAAGTTTGTGTAATAAGATTCCTTGACCCCTGTCCACACCCAGTTGAGTGTCTCAGCAGAAATAAGGGGTCTTGTACTGAAACTACCCCAATGAAACTAAAACCCCACCCAACAGAGTGTGAACATTCCCTTCCGGGCACATGCCAAGAAGCCGTCCTGAGATACTGTCACCTGATTCAGAATAACAGAGGGCTTTTAATTGAGGGTCTCTGTCCCGCCAACCCACATTAGAACCTCTCCCTCCCCTCATCTAGAGGACTGTGTCGGGTTCTAGTGCCTGAGCCCTTTAAATCATTGCTGGAGTGCCTCAAAGCTCTGAGAGCTGGGGGGGAGGAGGGAGCCTAGAACTGCAGTCTGGGTGGTGCTGAGGGCTGGCTGCCCTGGCCCCGCCCCTTCCACCTGACTCCACCCCTTCTGGGGGCTCAGAGCTGGACTCCTCTCACCCCCTGCCCAGGGGCCCATGGAAGCTGTTGGCGCCCTGGGAAGGGCTGTTCTAAAGAGGACGATGATCAGTTCTTCTCCAGGTGCACTGAAGGCAGGACAAGACACCGAGGTTTTGTCTACACTGCTGGCTTTGCTGGCAGAGCCTATGCAAATGAAGTGTGGATTAGCATTTTGCCATGCTTCATTTGCATAATTTATTCAAGCTGTTTTTGCGCAAGGGGTTTTTGTGCAAAAACAAGCCGTGTGGATGCGATTTTTTGCACAAAACCCCCATGTTGCACAAGATCCTTATGCCTCTCCAGGCGTGACTAAATTATGCAAATGAAGTGCAGCAAAATGCTAATCTGCACTTCATTTGCATAGGCTCTGCCGGCAAAGCTGGCAGTAGAGACATAGCCTGAGAGGACTAATCAGCAGCAAGGAAGATTTCAGTTAGACACGAGCAAAAAATTTCTAACTCTGAGGTTAAACTCTGGAACAGAATTAAGGATGGGAATAAGAGTCTGATGATGGAAGAAGCATCCTGAACCTTCCTGAAAACCCCCAACACAGTCTTTTTTGGAGGCTCAGAAAAGCTGTTTTACCTGTTCCCCATCAGTTTTGTTTCACTCTGCCCTTCCTGCTTCTTGAAAATCCTCACGGGGTGACTCCTCACAGGGTGTTTCAGGCCCCCTCAGACCCAGAGAACACTGGCAAGCGCAAA